GGTTTAATAGGAACTGAGAGCTTCACTGCGTTCACTTTGTTATGAAGTACAAGTTGGTTTTATAGAACTGAGAGCTTCTTGCTTCACTTGTTATGGAGTACAAGTTGGTTTAATAGAACTAAGAGCTTCTTGCTTCACTTGTTATGAAGTACAAGTTGGTTTAATAGAACTGAGAGCTTCTTGCTTCACTTGTTATGAAGTACAAGTTGGTTTAATAGAACTGAGAGCTTCATGCTTCACTTGTTATGAAGTACAAGTTGGTTTAATAGAACTAAGAGCTTCTTGCTTCACTTGTTATGAAGTACAAGTTGGTTTAATAGAACTAAGAGCTTCATGCTTCACTTGTTATGAAGTACAAGTTGGTTAAACAAAACTAAGAGCTTCATGCTTCACTTGTTATGAAATATATTAATAACAAGACAGTAGGAGTTTAGGTTTGAGAAAAAGTTGTACTATGATACTGTTCATGTACATATTGGGATGAATAATGAAATAGAACTATCGGGATAATAATAGCACATTACAAGCATTTTAGTAAGCATAATGGCTTGAAGATGTTTGTTTTAATTAAGGTAGAAGCCTTTGGTAACATTTTACCATTCTAGATATTTTGTTTTTGTGTAGTATGACAGACATGTTTAGTGTTGCCAATATTCTGTAAGAATATTTGATATGTATTTAACATTACTGGTGTTCTGCTGTGTAACTAGATGAATCATGGTGTGAATGTTACATGTTTAATGGTACTGTCATTTTCTAATGTAACAGGTATTCTCAGTTTAAATAGATTATTTTACTTCATGTTTCCTGTTTAAGATGTTGTTTATGTTATTAACAACCTTATAAATCTGTGTTAAATAGATTGTTATTACTGCACTGACTTTTACAGAACCATTGACACATTAAATACATCAGAATCGTCAGCAGTCAGAGACTAGCACTACACTGACGCTCACATAACATGTGTGATGTACAAGGTAAAATCTTGCAAAAATATGGAAGTTTATTCTAAACAAATGTATATTAAATACACATACCACTAACTAGGTTATTTTAAATGTGTATTGAACACACGTACCACCAACTAGGTTGTTTTAAATGTGTATTGAACACACATACCACCAACTAGGTTGTTTTAAATGTGTATTGAACACACGTACCACCAACTAGGTTGTTTTAAATGTATATTAAACACACATACCACTAACTAGGTTGTTTTAAATGTGTATTGAACACACGTACCACCAACTGGATTGTTTTAAATGTGTATTAAATACACATAACACCAACTATATTGTTTTAAATGGGTATTAAACATGCGTAACACCAACTATATTGTTTTAAATGGGTATTAAACATGTGTAACACCAACTGTGTTGTTTTAGTTTTTTAATAACAAAAATCTTTATGTGCATTGAATGTTTCACTATAATTATTAATTGATTAAAACAGGGTCACTCAAGTTACAAGCTACTTAACTTTAAATGACAAATTCACATTATACTTGGATATAATACCCTTTTTTTACATAGGTTTGATAAAGATCGTCGTTCTAATGGCTCGATGGAGAGTTGTGAAGATTCTCCACTCCATCCATCTGTTTACAGCAAGTTATCTACGGACAGTAAAGGTGTGTAGCAGTGTTGAAATCACATTTACTTAAATATGAGGTTTCCCTCCTTTTCTTTTGTTGAAAGGTAATTAATAGGAATGTTGAGTGTTTCTTTTGTTAAGGAGTAATTCTTGAGAATGTTAGGTGTTTCTTTCATTGAGGCATAGTCTATAATAATAAAAGTGTGTGTCTGTGAAACCTGAAATTTTGCACCCATACTAAGTGGACCCTGAGGGTGTGCACCTGGGTATTATTACTAATCTTATCCTCATGCATGCACGTCTTTTTAATGAGGCAAGCTAGTGAATAATAACTTCTAATATATAGAAAATCCAGTGCATTTTGGTAACAATGCATTCCAATAATGGCTTTTATGTCATGTTGCTTAGCAATAAAAAGTGTTGTTGTTAGTCTATATACTGAAAGTATAAAATGAAATGTATAAACAACAAAACTGGATAAAAATTTATTGATTTCTTAATTTAAAGTCTCCATTGATTAAAGAGATTTGTTTTTTATTAAAAACATTGGTGATGTAATAGAAAATACCTCAATTCAGAAACGATTTAAGTTTAAAATTGGATTGATATTTTTACTCCCATGATAAATTATATGCACTTGACTCTAGCCTAGGTTATCTCACACTATGTCTTTACTTTAGGCTTGCTTATTAATTTCTTTAAGTCATACCAACATTCACTACACTTACAAGGTTTTACAGCAACCCCTTTCATGGCCCCTTGCACCCTGTCATTAAAATCGTAATGGGCAGACAGTAATTGAACTATTTTATTTGGTTAAATGCATTTTGACTTTTATTACTCCTCTTATTTCGAGAAATCAAGAGTGACGTGATATGACACACACTGGATTTTATTCTTAATTTACTGTACTTTTTGTCACTATTCTTCCATGCTAAAATAGATTAAGAATACACATGCTGACATAGTCATCTAGAATATATCAACCTAATAACCCGAGCAAAGCTGGGTACTTTCACTAGTTAATGATAATGTTAAATGTATCTTTTATTGAGAAGTAATTAATGAGAATAATAATTTTTAAAGATATATCTTGTATTGTCTGTGTGGTAATCTAGAATACATATAAGTCACTTCCACCCACTAGCCGAGGACTGTACAACCTGATGTGTCAGAGGTCGTTATGTTGTTGGTTTGATAGACAGTAAATGAACATAATATGCAGTTAATTAACATGAGAGTAATTATAAGCTATTTTGTAATTGTACTAAATATTTATGTTCTCTGCTAGTGGTCAGTTGATAGTTTTAAAGTTATGCACATTTCAGAAGATGAGAATTAGTTTTCTAAATATCATTCCTGGCTGTGTACTAAATATTTATGTCCTCTGCTAGTGGTCAGTTGATAGTTTTAAAGTTATGCACATTTCAGAAGATGAGAATTAGTTTTCTAAATATCATTCCTGGCAGTGTACTAAATATTTATGTTCTCTACTAGTGGTCAGTTGATAGTTTTAAAGTTATGCACATTTCAGAAGATGAGAATTAGTTTTATAAATATCATTCCTGGCAATGTACTAAATATTTATGTCTTCTGCTAGTGGTCAGTTGATAGTTTTAAAGTTATGCACATTTCAGAAGATGAGAATTAGTTTTATAAATATCATTCCTGGCAGTGTACTAAATATTTATGTTCTCTATTAGTGGTCAGTTGATAGTTTTAAAGTTATGCACATTTCAGAAGATGAGAATTAGTTTTCTAAATATCATTCCTGGTAGTGTACCAAATATTTATGTCTTCTGCTGGTCAACAGTTGATAGTTTTAAAGAGTTATGTTCTGTGCTGAAGATGACAATTACTTTTCTAAATCTTATTCCTGGCTGTGTAATGAATATTTTGTTTAACTATATTGGTCTACAGATCTTACTAAGTGCCAGCAACCAATGAAGGCATGGAACACTGGGGCTCATGCAGCAATGGGCAGTGATTCTGACAGTATCAGCAGTTGCCACAGCAACAAATCACAAGAAACCAGTCCTCCAGGCAGTCCACAAGTAGCTCAACGTAAAATGTTAGCCATGTCATCAGGAGATGAATTGGAAACTGACCATGACAACAGTTAGTAGTTGTTATTTGTATGTTAACACTGCTTACTTTCAAAACAAACATAATTACTATAAAAACCTTTCTTACAAAATTATGTTAAAAAACATCTACTTGTGTGAAGGTTATCTGTTAAATTTTGCTAAAATTATTTTTAAGTTCTAGGTTTATAGTCATGATTCAGGATGTAAATAATGTTTAATATATATCAGCGTGAACTCTTGTTACTTGGACAGCTGACAGTGTAGGAAGACGGACGTGTATGTCAAGAGCTGCTGAAACACATTCATTTAGAAAGTTAAAAACGCCAGCAAGATGTCGAGAATGTGACTCGTATGTCTACTTTCAAGGTGTAGAGTGTTCTGAGGCAAGTTTATACTGATTCTAATAATATTTTCAGTTGTGTTTACTTTCAAAGTGAAGAAGGTTCTGAGGAAAGTTCACACTGAGTTTAGTAATATTTGTGTTTTTAGATACAAGATAATTAAGTGAACATTTGTTGTTAATCCAATGTAGCCTTGACTCAGGTTTTTGGATATAAGATTATTAACCCTATCATGACGGGTCACGTGTCAGAGGCCATGTCATCGCGTTTGTTTATATATAAGTTGATTAACTGAATGTTTGTTGTTACTCCAGTAGGGCCTTGACTCAGGTTTATATATATAAGATGATTAACTGAATGTTTGTTGTTACTCCAGTGGGGCCTTGACTCAGGTTTTTATATACAAGATGATTAACTGAATGTTTGTTGTTACTCCAGTGTAGCCTTGACTCAGGTTTTTATATATAAGCTGATTAACTGAATGTTTGTTGTTACTCCAGTGTGGACTTGACTCAGGTTTATATATATATAAGCTGATTAACTGAATGTTTGTTGTTACTCCAGTGGGGCCTTGACTCAGGTTTTTAGGTATAAGATGATTAACTGAATGTTTGTTGTTACTCCAGTGTGGTCTTGCGAGCCACAAGAAATGCCTGGAGCTACTACCCATCCAGTGTGGCCGCAAGCGACTCCCTCGGAAGATGACCACTTTTGGTGTGGAACTTACAGCACACTCAAGGGAATCAGATGAGGAAGTACCTCACATTATTACCAAGTGTATAGAGGAGATTGATCGTAAGGGATACTTGATCAAGGTTTGTCTTATTGATAAACAAGTTTTTTTCTGTGTAAAGAATCTGTTCTTATCATTCATACTCAGCCAGTTATGATCATATTTCATAACAGGATAAACTAAGACTAATATTCTGAGATCGTATATACTCTTTCATTTAGGAACCACCTAAGGCATTTTGGTCTTTTGTAATGTATATTGTAATAATAGTTAATGAAATTTTATGTTGAATCTAATAAACTGGAAACCTTTTCAAAAGAACTGAATTTTCTGTTATGTACACCTTATACTGATAAAACACGAACTTTCGATCAGCTGTTTATGTGACGTTACATTACAATAAGACTGGTAATAACTCTTAGCTTTCTCTACTGACTCTGTATGTTTCCAGTAAGAAGAACATGAGCTTATAAGTTATGATATTATGAGAAATGACTTGTCACAGCAGCATACAAAGTTTGTGGATGAGATGTTATGATGTTCTTCTTACTGGATAAGGCCTTAGAAAAGATTTGTTAAAAATTGTCATCAGTCTAATGTCAAACTATATTGTATTTAATACCAATCATTTAAAATATTTTTACCAAACCATTCTTTGTTTTGTACTCTAATCTATCTCACTGTATTTCAGTTTGTGCCACTTCTTGGGTCACATTCTTATCTTTACTTATGAACAGGGCATTTACCGTGTATCTGGAGTGAAGTCAAGGGTGGAAAAATTGTGCCAGTGTTTTGAGAACGGAGCAGAATTAGTTGACCTCACTGAAGTACATCCTAATGTGATAGCTAACGTCTTAAAGTTGTATTTGAGACAGGTAGAGAATGTTTTAGTTTGATATTAGAGCACTTATGTTACACTTAATACATCACATTAAAGTTTCAAAAGTATTAAACAAATGAACATAAAACAGATGAAGGAAATACTTGCGACAAACGGGAGTTTCTAACAGTTAATATGTTACCATTAAACCTGGTGTTAAAATTTGATATATGCTTTTTCTTTTCAGCTGCCTGAGCCTTTGCTGACTTTCAGACTCTACCCTGATTTCATTAAAATTGCAAAAGTAAGTATTCAGTGTCAGATTTTGCTGATATTGTTTAGATAAGACTGATAAAACAGGTATGTTGACATTTAGCATAATAAAATATTATTGACATTTAGCATAATAAAGTATTATTAACATTTAGCATAATAAAATATTATTGACAATTTGCATAAAATATTCATTAACATCTATCCAAATATAAATTAAGTAAATTTGAAGTCCTAGAAACAGTTGATTTTATAATTCATTCTGGTTTGGTAAATTAAAAATCTGATTGCACTCCATACAAAACTTTTAAACTGACCAACATTATTGTTAGCTCATTACAATAAATATTACTTATGTTGACATTATTGTTAGCTCATTACGATAAGTATTAATTATGTTGACATTATTGTTAGCTCATTACGATAAGTATTACTTATGTTGACATTATTGTTAGCTCATTACGATAAGTATTACTTATGTTGACATTATTGTTAGCTCATTACGATAAGTATTAATTATGTTGACATTATTGTTAGCTCATTACGATAATTATTACTTATGTTGACATTATTGTTAGCTCGTTACGATAAGTATTACTTATGTTGACATTATTGTTAGCTCATTAAGATAAGTATTACTTATGTTGACATTATTGTTAGTTCATTATGATCAATATTACTTATCTTGACATTATTGTTAGCTCATTATGATAATTATTACTTATGTTGACATTATTGTTAGCTCATTACAATAAGTATTACTTATCTTGACATTATTGTTAGCTCATTACAATAAGTATTACTTATGTCTTCTTCCTCATTCCCTTCTGTGATTCAATGGTCAAAATATAAAGTTTAGTAGACTGGAATAGATGGCCTTAAGATGGTCAAGAGCTTCTGTCTTCATTGCTGTGATTTTTGTTAGTATTATTGTATACAGTTTTGGACTGTAGATGTTTGTTAGTATTATTGTATACAGTTTTGGACTGTAGATGTTTGTTAGTATTATTTTATACTGTTTTGGACTGTTTGTTAGTATTACTGTATACAGTTTTGGACTGTAGATGTTTGTTAGTATTATTGTATACAGTTTTGGACTGTTTGTTAGTATTATTGTGTACAGTTTTGGACTGTAGCTGTTTGTTAGTATTATTGTATAGAGTTTGTACTGTAGATGTTTGTTAGTATTATTGTATACAGTTTTGGACTGTAGATGTTTGTTAGTATTACTGTATACAGTTTTGGACTGTAGATGTTTGTTAGTATTATTGTATACAGTTTTGGACTGTAGATGTTTGTTAGTATTATTGTATACTGTTTTGGACTGTAGATGTTTGTTAGTATTATTGTATACTGTTTTGGACTGTAGATGTTTGTTAGTATTATTGTATACTGTTTT